CTAACAGAAAAGGCAGACAGGCTAGCAGACATACCAACAACCATCGACCAGCCCAACGCCCGGACGAAGATACCAGACAGACAGACCATACAACGAAAACCAGACAACTGAGGTGTTGGGTATGGGGATGGAGGAATAAATTTTTGGATGGAAAAGGGGGATAGACAGGCTAACGGCTAGACGACAAAAACAGAAAAGATAGACCAACCAACGCCCGGACACGACCAAACAGACAGACAACCAACAGACAGACAAACCAACAGACGGAGGGTGATTGGATGAATGGATGATGAGATGATGATTGGATTGATGAGGGCTAGACAGCAGGGAAGTGACGCAAGGATAACACCCTCCTCCCCCTGCATCAATCTCACCAGACTGTGGTGATCCATCTGCTCCTCCGAACTGTACACGCTCCCCCACAAGGCACTAACCACGCCTGCCTTATCATGCATCAGTATTCCACCAAGCTGTGCAGAGCCAGCCAGTCTGTCCGCTGTTGATTTCCCAACACACCGGCATACCCTGGTGAAAAAATCAAGACAATACTCCTCACCCGTGTCCTCTGCAGCGAGGCATGCCACTCTGTACGAAGCATGCCTATCCTGATCTTCCTCAGTATGCTTTCTGAATCACTTACAATCACGATATGTGTGTTTGTTGTGTTCTCTAGCCAGCGGAAAGCTGCAGTGACCGCCTCCACCTCCATTCTTAAGCTGGGTGTTGTGGTATCATATACTAGGCTCTCCTGCACTAAACGTCGACCATAAACTGTTCATAAGAAACCACAAGCATTTCTTTTGCCTCTTGACACTGAACCGTCTGTGTAAATGATCAAATCTTCTTAGCGAGCATTATCTTGAATTAATTGCTGAATTCTCACCTCTGTGGCACCTGCTGGTCAGTCTCTGCATTCTCGGCTCAGTGTGATTATGACCCTACACAAGTCTGACTGTTCAGGTGGCACTTTGACCCACTCCTCGCCTCGCCTAAAGTTTTCAATGATTGTGGTGTCCAGAGATGTAGAAAACGCGCGCATGCGTACTGCATCCCGGTATTATCTCGAATTTAGGTTTGTTTTGAGAGAGGGGGGAGAGAGAGAGAGAGAGAGAGAGAGAGAGAGAGAGAGAGAGAGAGAGAGAGAGAGAGAGAGGGGGGGGTTGGACTGAATTCCATCCATGATGTCGAAATGACTGTACAGGAAGTCTGCAATTTGAAAACGGATCAACATCATAGCACAAGGGTAGTAACCCATAAGTGCTGCGTTCTTCTTCTAACTCAAGTCTGAGTACGAGGAAGCTCAGCACAGTGCACAGGCTCCGTAGCACCGGCGAGGATCGTTATATTCTTTGGATAGATTTTTAACTCCAAATGTTTGCCCGGGCAGCGCGTTAGGCTACTCTTTTCGATTTCCAACTGCCCAGGGATTTTTTACCTGCGCAGTCCAAATCCACGTGAAAAAATTGCAGCCCTTACAGGGGATTGAACCCGGAACCTCTAGCAATCGAGGCGGACACCATACCTGGAGATCGCGCAGCTCCCGACTGTACCGGATAAAACGGAATAGAGGAAAATACTGAGCCCTACATCACATATAACGGTACCATACGACAACACTGATGATGATGATACTTAAATACTTTTCATAAAAATGTTATTCATGATTAAAAAGGGCGGGGGGAGGGGGGGCGCGTCCTAAGAGAAATGCAAAATTATAGGGAGGGGGAATTCCCCCCCCCCCGCCCCGCGAAGTAGGGCGAGGAGCGAGGGGGGATGGACTTGAGGGAGGTGAGCTCTCACGTTCCAGAGCCTATGGTGGCACCTTATACCCAACCCGTCTCATGGCAGGGAAAACGATACTTTGCTGTATGTATTCTTATACAGCCCCTGCGGAGAAAGCTTTCGCCCTAAGCGTGTTCTTCAATGGTGAACTGAACAACGAAGACCAATACGCAAGAGGTGGGCGTAACTTTATACAAGTGCGAATGGTACCACTTTGGGCGCGCCGTCTGAGCGAGGTGAGTATCTCAATGTTTGGTCTCTGGCACGCTAAGTGGGTTCCTGGGGCACTCTCTGGGTGGGACAAATAAGGCCAGACCCTTAACAAGCATAGCGTAAAATTGTGATTTATTAGGGGGCCGACTGAAATCAGATGTGTTGGGTCAAAAAGGGGGAGATAATGCAGGTTAACTGTAAACCACGATATTGTGTATGTAGTGAAACGTCATTTAAAGACAAAATTAGAAGAAGAGGAAGAAGAAGAAGAAGAAGAAGAAGAAGAAGAAGAAGAAGAAGAAGAAGAAGAAGAAGAAGAAGAAGAAGAAGAAGAAGAAGAAGAAGGAAGAGAAACAAATAAATAAAAAGAAAGAATAGAGAACGAAAAAAAATACACAAAGAAAGAAAGAAACAAAGAAACAAAAAAGAAAGAAAGAAATAGAAGAAGAAGAAGGAAAATAAAGAAAGGAAGAAAGAAAGAAAGAAAGAAAGAAAGAAAGAAAGAAAGAAAGAAAGAAAGAAAGAAAGAAAGAAAGAAAAGAAAAGAAAGTAAGAAAGAAAGAAAGAAAGAAAAAAAGAAAGAAAGAAAGAAAGAAAGAAAGAAAGAAAGAAAGAAAGAAAGAAAGAAAGAAAGAAAGAAAGAAAGAAAGAAAGAAAGAAAGAAAGAAAGAAAGACAAAGGGAAAAGAATATTATTACGTGGTAAGACCACGGTATTTTCCCCGGATCAATGTTTCATTTATTTGTTTTTTTTTTTTAATCTAAAAGGTAATTAAATTGTTTACCATTCATCAGATTATTGTTATTATTATTATTATTATTATTATTATTATTATTATTATTATCAATGTTTTTACTATTTCAAGCTCTGAAACTATGCTTGTGTCCATTGAGGCTTTCTTTCTTTAGAAACTATGAAAAGGGCTTGAGCCCTTCAATGTTTTCTTTTTTTTTTCGGTATCAATGTCTACAGCTAATAATGGACCGTGTCTGAGGCTTAGGCGTTGTGAGCGAGCTTTGTAATGCCGGCGTGCAGGGTTCGATCCCATTTGCAGGCGATTAGGTAGCAGACCAGACCATTTTGTTTTGGTTGCGACAGTAGTACCGAAAACCGGCCGTTTAAAGGCAAAGCCAAACTACAAGACCCAAAATCTGCCTAGAAAACCCGCAAAAGCCACACAATGCTGGGATTGGTTCTGCGACGTCCTGTAAAGCAGAGTTTCTTAAACTTGTTTCGCCAAGGAGACGGCACCCTTGTCGGGTTTTGAAAAAAAAAACTTCAAGGCACACCTACCCTTAAAGCGGTTTGAATACTTAGGAAGAGAAGAAAAAACAGTGCAAATTGAATGTTCAGTTGTCTTTAATGCTATAAATGAAACTGTTTAGATGAATTTTTCACTATTTTTTTTTTTTATGTTAAGGTGAAGTTTAGTTAAATATAGCCTCAAATCATCTGAAAGCTGCTCCTGTTTTTTTTTTTTTTTTACATAAGCGTACGTTGAGAATGCACTGCAGCCTAATCATTAGCATTGTCTCCTGAATACATCTATTTTCAGAACTCTCTTTTAGCTTCTCTTACGATATTTCTGTTTTAAACTGCTGTCTTCGCTGACCTCAAGCAGATTTTTAAAAATCTTGATTATTGCCTCAGTTTGGGAACCGCTGTTGTAGAGGATACGCAACTAACTATCTTATCTGCTGGTGTAACTGGGTTCACAACATCTTTGTTTGTATCGGTAGTACCCAGTCTTGTATGCTGAGGAAGTCGTCGACGGAGAAGTGATGATCCTTCAGGTGGGTATATTCAAAGATGGCCCAGGAAACACTATGTTCGCACAATTGTACAACTTCACTAATGACTACAACGAATTCGGGTGGGTATTCTTATGTCAATCGTTGAGTTTTCACTTGTTTTGGGTATTCTTATGTCAATCGTAGGGTTTTTACTTGTTTTGTGCAATATGCGTCTCCATACCTCAGGTGAAATATTGTTTAATTACGTAACCAGTCTTCTGCTTTCCCCCTCCTCCCCCTTCTTCTTCTTCTTCTTCTTCTTCGTTTTATGTTTTTTATATTAAACATTACACCATTTATATTAAACATTGCACCATTTATATTAAACATTACACCATCTATATTAAACATTACACCATCTATATTAAACATTACACCATATATATTGAACATTACACCATTGATATTAAACATTACACCATTGATATTAAACATTACACCATTGATATTAAACATTACACCATCTATATTAAACATTACACCATTTATATTAAACATTACACCATTTATATTAAACATTACACCATTGATATTAAACATTACACCATTTATATTAAACATTACACCATTTATATTAAACATTACACCATTGATATTAAACATTACACCATTTATATTAAACATTACACCATTTATATTAAACATTACACCATTTATATTAAACATTACACTATTTATATTAAACATTACACCATTTATATTAAACATTGCACAGTAAAGAGAGTCACCGTAGAGTAGCAGCTAGACGCTCGCCTGCAGATCGTTAGGTCGTGGGTTCGGGTCCTGACGGAGTCGGGGACGACTTAGTTCAGCCTCTGTTGATTCTACAAGACAAGCCTTTCTCTAACCTGTGTGACTTTCTGCCAATACAGGGCACTAGAATATGATTACCACCAAATAGAAGGTTTTGAAATGAGCCAGCTATGGACCGATGATGAGTGTCGTGCGTATTTTGAAATATATGACGGTCTACTAACTGGCACATTTCCTGACTGCAAGTTCACCAATCCAGACGGGGTAAGTGATTTGACAGAGAATTATCATAACAAGATATCAAACCAAACCAAAAGTAGAGCCAGTTAGCTTTACGATGTCCCAGTCACAAACTACAAGTGAACGTTGCGGCTAGAAAGCCTTCATCGGTACATTACGTAAATCAACACTACCACAGGCAGAAACAAGAATACTCAAAATCCCTTAACTGGCGTATTGCCGATAAACATCACGTTGCTATCCAGCCAGTGAAATGAATTAAATAGATTTTAAAAATGCGTCGCATCCTTTAAAAGGTTTGGTGTTTAATATATAATCAAGAATCAGCTCTTAGGGAATTTACATAAACGTTCCATCCCCATCTTCAGCAGCAAGTGCCGATTTATAATTCTAATAATATTAGTAACAGTCTGATTTATGTCCATACACTCTTTGACCTGAGTGTTGACCGTCGGCCAGATCCTTTGGTCACTCCTCGCAGCACCATTGTTGGAATGGTGCACTTTTGGGAATATCCCAAATGCTGTGATGTCGGTTTTTAACTCACTTTAGCTGAACTCTCCTGTCAGTAAACCCAACCCTAAAGACCCTTTGCACCGTGGAGTTAACCGCTGCTTCCAGAGCACACGCACGGGTAGCAGAACAAGCGGCCACACATGCGGTAATCATGCACTAATGGAAATGGACAAGAAGCATGGACAGAGCTGATATCATCAATGCTGTATGAACTAGATTGGTGGATAATGAGGAATATCAGACGCTAACACGATTGCTTGATCGAGAAGTTAAGCTTGACTGTCCTCGAGGTAAATACAAGAGATACTCTAACTCCTCATTAGAACAATCAATAGACGTACCTTGGAGTGGCTGCTGCATCGGAGGACTGAGCACGCATGGGGATGCCCAGTGTGCAAAGACGTCGATTGTGAAAACATAACACAACATAACATCATTTTCAGTCTTCTTCTTCGCGATCGCTAGCTTAAACTACGGCAGAAAGTTATGGTTGTACGTCCAGTTCCAGAAACTGAATGTTGTGTGCACTTCCATTTAACATATACGGCCTACTTGTATGCACACTGTGTGCACACACTTCAGGCAGGTGCACTCAGACTTTGAAGGATGCCCCCGATTAGTCGACTTTTGCTACATACTTGTTGGGGGGGGGGGGGGGGGTGGTCTATCCTTGTTTTCTTCCATAGTGGGGCCCTGGAACCCATGCCAGGTTTTTTTTTTTTTCTCAGTCAACTAATAACTGCTACAATACGGCGACCAGCAGACGGATTAAATTGTAAGATGCCATTCTGGCTTAAATGTCGAGATGAACAGTGATACTAGCAGAAATGTTTATGCACATACCGTCACAGTCATTTAATGTTTTATTCCTTTGAATAAATCCTCTCAAGAAGAAGAAGGAGGAGGAGGAGGAGGAGAAGAAGAAGAAGAAGAAGAAGAAGAAGAAGAAGAAGAAGAAGAAGAAGAAGAAGAAGAAGAAGAAGAAGAAGAAGAAGAAGAAGAAGAAGAAGAATAGTGCTAATGGCAGGCCAACCTGGCAAACCCAGCTACCTCGTTCAACCTTCAAGAAAAATAATTTACGCTCCGGTAAAAGCCCGATATAATCTGCAGTCCTGTGCGTGTAAGGAACCTAACTGATGGTAAAAACATTAACTAAAAGTGATGAAAGAAATGTTTACACATTTATTTTTTTTCCAGACACATCCGTATTTCGTTCTGATCTATAACTGCCAACATGAAATCGCCGTATTTCCAACTAACACCAATCAGAAAGCCACGGATACACCATACGTTCTTGATCCGTCACGTGACAGGTAGATATTCTCCGTTGTTGTTGTTGTTGCTCTTCAGTGCCGGTTTATGCATCGTAGCTCTGTTTTCCCTATGTATTATCGATATTATCTCTTTCTTGTCTTAATTAACAAACAAAGATTGCATGAAGAATATTGTATGCAATCTTTCTTTGTCAAATGAGACGAGAAAGAGAATTTTTTTAGTATCTAGAAACCATGAGCTGTTAACCCTTAGGCTCGGTATTATGGATATCGCAACCCTTCGGACTTGATTCCATGATAAATACCGTAAATCTGGGAGAAATGTGGCTTTTCTGCCTACCCCCGGGCGTGAACCCGGACCACAAGGAGTTCGTCACCCGGTCACCGCGCAGTCCGGTTTAGCCAACTGCGCTAGAGAGCCGGGCAAAGAGAATTCTCAAAAGTTATATAAATCCTGTATTGTTAAACGGATGTACATCATGGATAGTAAGTAAATTAGTGAAAACCTTTTTTGGAAGCTGCGGAGCTGTGGTTTTATAGACGAGTGCTGAGAATACCCTGGACAGATAAAAGGAGTAATGGAGACGTCTTAAAAGAAACTGACCTACGAGGAGAACTAATTGCCCACATCAGAAAGAGACAATCTACATTCTTTGGTCAAGGAGAAAACAGGAGTACATAGTGACGGTAGGAAAGCTGGAAGGGAAGGGAGGCAGAGGGAGACCGAGAGAACAGATGCTGGACAGTCTGACATCATGTCATGGAAGATCATCTGTGTCAGAGTTGATTGAAAGTACACGAGACAGAAGGTTGTGGATAGACTTGACTACCAACACCAAACGACGTGGACTTTAAAAAGAAGAAGATTATTGATAACACTTACTTTAATTTTTTTCCTTCTGTTATTCTTTAGTTCTACTTGTACATTCTTTCTTTTTCTTTCTTTTGTCAAAATCTGCTTGTGCCGCTAGGCGTCGCAGTCTATCAGATGATCGGCAACCGAGCCAGGGCGCGCTCAGTCGCTTCATATGCCGTGATGTTATGAAGTCTCAAGTTGTCCGTGACTCCTTCAATCCATCTTCTTCTTGGTCTTCCCCTGCCTCTTGTTGTTTCGATTTTCATGTTGTATGCTCTTGATGCTGGCATCGTTGGTTCCATTCTCATTAGGTGACCAAACCATTTCATTCTTTGCTTCTCAATAAATTTAACGATGGGTATACATTATATATCCTTAAGCCTAATATCAGTAGCTATAGAACAGTGCGTTTCACAGTTCAAGTGACATATGTTTAGCTCTTGGGTACATGCACTTATGTCCGAGATTATAAGCTGCACACCGGGTAGAGTAGGCACTGTCACAAACGAGGTGCCGACCTTGTTTTATTAACATGTATACGCAAAGTCGGCGTCTGTGGCTTCAGCTTTGCGAACAAGTTTCGTAATGCCGGGGTGCCGGCACCCAACACTGCTCTTCTTTTTCGGTAGCTTCTGCTGAATGTTTTTTCCAAAACGCGTGGTGTTGCCTTTCCTTTAGTTCAAACAAGGCAAAAAAACATTTAAAAAAAAAAAAGAAGAGATCTGCATCATTGCCAAGTTTTTGTGCTACGGAGTGAGCTAGTCACACTAGACCAGTGGTTCTCAGCCTTCCTAATGCTGCGATCCTTTAATACAGTTCCTTACTGTGAAATGGTTGTTCGAGCCCCCAAAGAGGTCGCGACCTCACTGGTTGAGAACCACTGCAATAGACGTCACCAGGTCGTTATTTCCATGCTTCCCTATAGCCCAGTGGTTCTCATCCTCCCAAATGCCGCCACCCTTTATTACAGTTCATCATGTTGTGGCGACCCCCAACGATACCATTATTTCCGTCGCTACTTTATAACTTCAATGAATATTTGTTTTGCGATGATCTTTATCTCTTCATCGTCTTCTTAGTCTGCTTTATGGTGTATGACAATCCACCTCCACCTTTCTGCATCTCGACGTTCTTTCAGTGTGCCCAAGTCATTTCAGTCTATCAGCCTTCATAATGCCAGTGATCGGTGGTGATTTCTACATGATGATTATGAGTTTCACCGTCGCCTCTCTCTCTCTCTCTCTCTCTCTCTCTCTCTCTCTCTCTCTCTCTCTCTCTCTCTCTCTATTTCCCTCTCTTTGCATCTTTGATGGGTCCAAAGATTCATCGTAAAACTGTTTTCCAACATTTATAATAGGGCTACTTTTGAAACTGAAATATTATTTGTTGCTGTACAATAGATAAGAACATCAGAAGTATAGTACAGTCAACGTTTTACAAAACTTAATTGAATGGCTTTTTTGGAAAACGACAATATTGCTTTATGTCCCCAAGCTGTCTGTAGCCGAATGTGAACCCGTGGTCGATCGTCGTGTCCCCTCCAAGCTTATATGTGAAGATTTACTGTACTGTCCTGAGATTTAAACATTTCAGTTTGTACAGCAGACCAACCAGGCAGATCCCTGATACCCCTTGCAGCTTTAAATACAAACCAAAAAAAAACAGTCATAACTAGTGCACTCGTAAGTACTACACTGGCCTACACTAACCTGCAGTCCTATACGGGTAAGGAGATTGTCGAACGCCTATGTTCGTGATTATGAAACTACTCTCATAACCTTTAAATGACATATGCCGACATATAATTAAATATTATGTACTTCTTTTTCGAAGATCAAATTGCGTTGTGCCGTTTACAGCATGGCTGCTATATTTCAGCCTTCCGGCCACCTCATCCCACTTCTGCTAGCATTTGTTGACCAGATTAGCATTCCTTGTTATTTAATATGCATTAATAGCTTGTGATCATGTGAACTTCAAATAACAGCATTGTGGAATTTGACCTCTGTTACCAGATTTGAGTTGAACGGAGATTACGACACTTTCCAGTCTCCGTGCGAGCCGTACAAGCTGAAAACACAGGAAGCTGAATCGTAAAATTCGTTTCTTTCCTTACCAATCCTAAACAATAACAAGTAACCAATTAGAAACTTTTTCAACTTTTAGTTAGCAGGAAAAAATATTTAGTTGTCTTATGTAATTTACAGATAGCTCAAAGTCTGTTTTCGAGGTCATTCTATTCCTTCTCGTGAAAGAGTTTATAATTAATTAAACTAATTTTAAATTACACAAAATTAAAATGAGAACGTAAACCAACAATTCTTTTTGTGTTTATTTCTTGGTATAAGGTCGTGTTTCTGTTTGTGGAAGAAGGACTCTTGTCACGCCTTTAGGCATATTGGGCATAGAAAGCTAGACCTATATTTTATAGACCAATCGGCACTCTGTGGCGTCATGTGCTCAAATTAAGGCTAGGTCATTTTTTTCTTAGTCCGGCTCCGACCAGACACCAACCTTGAGATCCGCAGGCGAGCGGGACGTTACACCACGGTCGTTCTATGGCAAACGTAGGTTAGTTGCCATTCCTTTACAGGACGCTGCAGAACCAACCCCAACAGCCACTGGCTGTTGTGTGGTTTTTGTAGGCAAATTTACGTCCAGTAGTTTTCCATTCCCACTGGACGGTCGGCTTTCTTGATACCACTGTCGAAACCAACGCAATGCGCATGGCCCGCAATTGGAATCGAACCCGGCATTCCGAAGCTTTGGCATCAACTTAGCCTCAGCGCTGACTATGGCAAACACAATAAAGCATAAAAAACGAATACATATTGGGGAAGGGTGGGGTTGGAAGGGAATTTTCTAAACAAATTTTTGTAAGATGTGGATTTAAATAATGACGCCAGAGGTAAGGTATTTCACAAGTGATTGCTTGGTATATTTCAGTACTGCTCGCTGGGGTATTTCACAAGTGATTGCTTGGTATATTTCAGTACTGCTCGCTGGGGTATTTCACAAGTGATTGCTTGGTATATTTCAGTACTGCTCGCTAGTGTATTTCACAAGTGATTGCTTGGTATATTTCAGTACTGCTCGCTAGTGTATTTCACAAGTGATTGCTTGGTAACTCCTCGCAGCGCCATTCTTCTCAGACCGTAATGATCTATTTGCGCTTCAGCGCTGTTCACTCGCTCCCAGAGGGCCCTCAAAAAGTCTAGCGTGAAGCTTTTTAGAGAGATGTATATTCCAGACTGATCATCATGATAGGAAGCTTAGAAATTCCGTTACAGTTTATCTTTTCAATAATATAAATGATAACTTTTTTTCAGCATGAAGGATAAAATTTTGCCACACACACACACAAAAGACGTATTGGGTATATAGGGTTAGACGAGGATTTTATAGACCATACGGCAATTGGTGGGTGATGTGGTCAGTAACACACCGGCCGCCTTTACTTCTCAAGCTGGGTCGACCTGGGAGCCAAGGTCATTTTTTTTAAAGAAGTCTGGTCCTCGTTAGGAACCGAAACCACGACGTTCCGATCCGCAGACGAGCGTCTAGCCGCCAGACCACAACGGCTCCCACCTCATAGTGTACATCGACAAAATATAATAAATTACACAATGTGAGTTCTTTCCACTAGAGCAGAGGTAGGCAACATTTTGCTTTTTAAAATCCACGAGCAAAATTTAGGATTAGCAACCTGGTCGCGGGCCATATAGAAGAAAACAATCTTTAAAAATATAACACCCAGATTTCCAATTTACACGTTACCGTTTTATGGGATAATCTGAGATTATAATCCATCACTAGGTTTCTGACCAGACACACTCACCCACTGAAGTTCTTTACAACATTCCTAGATGTGTCTGTTCAAACCAAGTTATATTATTGAGGGATTTTTTTTTTTAAAGGGGAGGGGGGTCTGAGCAGAATTGCGTGGATTAACAGATGAGAGACAAGACAGCATGTTGAAATATTTTTTTTTTTTTGTTTGCTCTGCATACGAAGGTATGTTTTAGTGTTCAGTAATTGCGTGAGCTCAAATGCCAGATTGTCTAGTAATTTTACACCAGCCTCGTGGGGCAGTAACAATTTTTGACCGGTCAATTGTGGCCCATAGTTTGCCCGACTCCTGGACCAGAGCCACAAATCACACAAAGTTGACTGTCGCCCAGCACATCTCATGGGGATGGTGTCAGATTAACCAAATTTTTGAGCTACGCTTGCAGTAAAAGTAGTAGCAGCAGTATTACCAGCAGTGGTAGTAGTAGTATCAGCACAGCAATTTTTTTCCTAGAAAAAAAAAAATAGTACTGGCACTCACAACACAGCGTCCAAAAGAAAAGTGCCGTAACTTACAAAAAGTGTTTGTTACAGTAGTGCTGGCAAAATTATGTTTAACAGAGGTGTGGGTACTGCGTACCGTTGTGTACCGCAAGGAAAAAAAGCCCTGAGTAGTGATGGTGGTTAAGGACACTGTTCATACCAGACGCACATAGTTCATATGCTGAGTTATTTTTTTTTTTTTAAAGATCAATCGGCACTCCACCGTTGATGTAGTCTTCACGCCCTAGGATACTTCCCGGCTCCCATTTTATTCTAGGTCGTCCTAGTTGCCACTATCTTTTCCTTCTGCGTGTCCACCTCTGGTCTTGCTCCAGTACCTGAGTGTTCACATCCGTTTCACACTCCTGGCTAATTTGTTTTGAAGCAAGCCCCTCCCCCATAAGTTTTGACTACTACGACATGCTTGTTGCGGAGGAGTGGGTCTACTCTTGTTTTCCTCACGATGGGACCCAGGAATCCACACGAGGAGGTGGTCATTATTTTTTAAACAATTTCTACTATGTGCATCTTAAACCTAAAATATCGTCCATTGTCTAGCTTCTTCTACCTCTTCTGGTTCGAGAGAGACGTAAAGTACACCTTCTTCTACCTCTTCTGGATCGAGAGAGACGTAAAGTACAGCTTCTTCTACCTCTTCTGGTTCGAGAGAGACGTAAAGTACAGCTTCTTCTACTTCTTCTGGTTCGAGAGAGACGTAAAGCAAAGCTTTTTACTCTTCTCATCGCCTTGACCCTCAAGTTGAGGCTCAACACATGGTGCTGTTGTAGTTTCTCTGACGATCTTTCCATGTTTTTCTTGGTCAACCATGTGCTTTATGTCCTATTTTGGTGTGTGTGTGAGAGAGAGAGAGAGAAGAGTAGAGAGATAAGGAGAGAGAGAGACTAATAGAGAGAGATTAACACAGAGAAGAGAGAACTGTAGAAATAAGGATTTACACAAACTAATAAAACAAATCAACAACACACTATAAGTAATAAGAATTAAGATTAACAAACCAGACAGAAAGAAATATTTGAAGAAAGAAAAGACGGAAAGCATCAAAGGTTTTACAAAGAAATAAAACCAACACACCAGAAATAGCAAGGATTCATTCACATAAACTGCAGGTGAGAAACCAACAGTCCGTATACATCTATAAATCAGATATGCACATGAAAGACTAAACTCTGGAACACAACAATGTCCATAAGTGGACTACAACCATAACTTTTTGTTAGTTGAAAGCAGTGACTGTTAAAAGAAAAAGAAGCAAAAAAATATATATATGCTGGAAGATAGATATGTATTCAAAGAGAAACAAATCAAACAAAACCCAGGCTAGAAATGACAATTCTTTATTTGCCAGCATGCTCAACAATGTCGATCATGAACTGCTGAAGCAGACAAATAATTCTGGATCAATCTTTTGACACAAAACATCTTGGCCGTCATTGGAGACATCGCAAAAATCACAGCTTGTTCTCAAATTCTTTCTCTAGTCAAACATTACCCAACTACAAAAATATTCCCACCACCATTTCAGGTTCCAGACATTCTGAGCCCTCTCCAGGAAAATAAGTCCCTGTAAAACCAACTCTAGGAAGTACAAAAAACTTGACCTGTTTGCAGTGATCACCGTTAACTGTTTCACCAGAGATGACAAACAGTGAGTATAATGAATGCAACAATGAGACAAATATTTTCTTGCAACGCTGGTGTTAAAATTGCCCGACCTTAAATAATTAATGTACTTAACACTAAAAGTGACCACTGGATGTGTTATACACAGAAAATTAAATGTACAAAACTGACATTAATCACCGTAACAACATCTATTATTTAATAAATTGAATACTTTAGAGATAAATAACACTTATCATCAATACTTCAAAAATAAAATGATTACAATTATCAATCAGAAATAAATAACACTTCAGGAATATGTGTATTGATTTGATGACCCCCCCCCCCCCCCCCCCCCCCCCATTTGCTGTCTGCACCTAGCAGTGAAAGAACAGCCTGCTGGTCTCAATGACCCCAAGAGTTATGTCCATATAAGGAAGTTGTCTCCCAAGTGGCATCCATTAGACAGTGACTGCACCATGAGAGATACAAAAGCTGTGCCCCTTGGCTGGTGACCATCAAAGGCTATAGACAGGGCAAAATAAACAGCAATGCCTCTTGACAAGATCAACAATAGTTTCGGCCACTAGAGAATTTTGGTGTACTGATTCAACAAGGTCCAAACTTTGCATGCTTCACAGAAGCACTTAGTGAACAGTGGAATACCCTAAGTCAGTCCAATATCAAATCAATAAAAAGAGCTACAAAAACACAAAAAAAAAAAATTTATAAAACAAGATATGCTTTCACTAATATAATAAATTACTGAATCATAAACAACTAATTAATCAACTGTCTACATTCATCTTGTCTGAATTATCATTGTCCGTTGGATCAACACTGGAGCCTTCACTTTCTTTCACATCACTCATTGGCACATCTTGCTCTTGTAAGTCCACACTCATCTCCACATCGCTTCCTATCATCAGTGGAACATTTTTCTTGGCCTGTGGAGACGTCTGGATTCATGCTAGCAGACTGTTCATCGTTTGAGACATTATTTCGATTTGAAGACATGTCTGTACTGTCTTGATTCTGTCCAGAGCTGGAAGCTTGAAGAGTTTCAGACTCATGAGAAACAGCCTTCAGTTCAAGTAAATTTACAGCAGCTTCAATGTATCTCACAGCCTGCCTTCTTGCTTGTCTCACAGAATCATTTGAACCAGGCTCCACGGAGTCCAGCTTTATCAAGCTCCTAGTCAGCATCTCCTCCAAGTATCGATATTCTTTGTCTGCTTTCACTCCCTTGAAAGAATTGACACGTTCTTCAAGTTCTTTCACTTCCTTCATGACACCATTTATAATCTCAAAAGCCTTTCCTTCCAGGCTTGGGGCAGGTTGAGTTTGTTCTGGTTCTTTGTGCTCTGATGTTGGTGGTGCCGATTCTGACTTGGAGGAATCTTGTGGTGTTGGAACATCAGGTTTGGGGCTCGCCGCAGGTGGATTTTCGTGTTTCTTGGTACCCTGGTTTGTCTTTTTGTGTTTCTTGGTACCCTGGTTTGTCACAGCTTTGGCTGGATGGGAAGTTTCATGGGGCGGAGCTGGTTTATTTGTTTCATGGACTATAGGAATTGAGATGGGGCCCTGTGGTTTATCCTTGTGCTGAGAGGATGGAACTGGAGACTGCGAATCTCTAGGAGAACTCTGAGGCTCGGAATGTTGAGTCGCTGCCTTGTTGTGTCCAACAAATTGTACTGGTATCTCCCAAACATTGCCACATTTTCTGGGCGCAGAAGGTGGTCGAGAATGTTGACTGCCACGTGCTCGTGAAGTTGGTTGAGCAGTTTGGAAGAAGTCAGCTCTGTCTTGGGCTGAAGGCTGGCGACGAAACCCTTCTTCCTCTTGGTGAGATTCTGGTTCCTGTGCATATCTAACTGGTATTTCCACAACTCTTTTTGGTGAATGGAAATCATAACCAGCATCAGGATTTCTATAATGACCCTGCAAAAGATTAAATAAAAAATATATTAAAAATCATGTAAATATGTTTTTGCATGAGATAAAGTGTGTGTATACAATTAAATAGCAGACTCACAATCATCATCAAGTGCCTTGCAAAAGGGCATGAGCATCATTTCCCTCCACCATACAACAGCAGTGTATCATGATATATCAAATAAATGAACCTCCTCTCGCCATCTTTGATATGTCTTGCAGGATTAGGTCAACATAACTTGACAGTTTAAAAACTATTTTCTTTCAACACACATTCGCCACCGTCAATGGCTTGGCTAAGAGTATGTTTTTACACTTGAGTACACAATGAACCCTGTGAGCCGTCCTAGTGTTGCAGCTAGATGCTTGCCTGCAGATACGAAAGTCATGGGTTTAAATCCTCATGGTGCTGGAATGGTTTTTTTTCAACCTAGCCTTAAATGGGTACCAGGTAGTCCTGGGAAGCGTAACGCTGACATTGCCCACTGATGGTCAATTGGTCCATAAAGAATATACATTATGTCCCACACCAAGGTTATTTCTTAGTACCAAAAGAGCTGAGCAAAACAAAATGCCAATGACAGAAAGTGGGGATGGCTTCAATTGATCTACAGAATGTCTCGTGACACTTTCAAAGACAGCTCTCTAATGTATGGCAGATGGAGAAAGGAGATGCAGAGAGACAGTAGAAAAAAAAAAAAATGAATGCGTACATCATTGCTATTCTATTCAACTGATATCCTCCGAATAATGGCATATATTATAGCAGCAAAAAAAAAGCAACACCCTGACAGGGCCTCAATCACATATAAATTGCGGAATTCTTTCCGGTGAATATATCACGGCAAAAGTATGATAAATTTCTGGCGATGATGTCGCAAAACGCAATAAACTGCTGGGCTATCCTCCGAATAACGGTCCTAAATTATTGAGTCCGAAAATATACCCTAACAGGGCCTCAGTAACATGTCAATTGCTGACTTCCAGCAACAACCGCTGAGAGTTTATCTCCCACGCAGCTGCATGCAGCGTGGAGCCAAACTAGATGGCTTGGACTCGCAAATAAAATGAAGGAAGCTGCAGGAGATGTGGTAGCTGCTGCTCGTGAGTCCCAGCCATCTAATTTAGTCTCCCTCTGTGCCGCTCTTGGCGGTATGTTCGCAATTTACATGTTATTGAGGCCATGTCAGGTTGTTGTTGTTTTTTTGGCCGCCATATGTGGCCGTTATTCGGAGGATAGCCTATTCAACTAAGTTTAATCAGGGGCCAGCATTTTAAAAATTAGGATCCTCACAGGCCTGCAAACACAACATAGAATTAGAAAGATTATGAATTCACCACAAATGGCACAGATCTGCAGGCCACCACAAGCCTGATCTGGCCCGCAGGTCGCCACAAGCCTGATCTGGCCCGCAGGTCGCCACAAGCCTGATCTGGCCCGCAGGTCGCCACGAGCCTGATCTGGCCCGCAGGCCGCACTTCAATAGCCCTGGTGTCAACCATGGGTAGAAAAACAAGAGCGGGAGTAAGCAGTTTTGCTGAGTGTGGGTTTTTTAAAACTAGGATTCATGGCTCCCCCTAATGACCAGCTGAGTCGTCAATGTCCGCAGTAAAACCCCTCAATAATGGAATTCAACAGGAACAAATCAGTGCTTGAATATCAGTTATATTGAGGCACAACTACAATTACAATGTAGACTGTAATCCAATTCCAATACAGGGGATCAGTTTATATAATGTTATTATAACCAAAATTTCCAACTAACAAACACATGACAATGTCACGTATAATGATATCGATTTACTTGCTGCAACTTACCATAATTCGAGGATCGTTCCAAGTCGTATTTCTGTTATGATGATCCACGAAAAAAGGCCAGCCTGAATTTCTATCGTAACGCATTTCCCAACCGTCTGGTAAAGGATCGCCTCTGGAAAACTGCATCGAGGAAGCTAAACAACTGACTCAGCAAACACAACAACCGACTTATATGATAATTCAGGTTTTCTAGAATGATCAGGCCCAGACACTTCCGGACACAACACGGTCGATCCAGAGAGTTCGCGAACTTCCGGGTAAGGGGACGTCGTTCACAGGTCTGCCAATGCTTGAGTTTTCCCCCAGGATTTGGGTTTTTAATATGATACTTTGCGTTCAGATTTTAAAATCTTGGGTTTTTTTAAATCTTTTCTTATATAGAAGTGGGTAACTATAACATTTGTACTATTTTCTCAATCTTGGGTTGTTGTTTTTTTTTTTTGGTTCTTTGCTTATGTATCACTTGGGTTTTGATAAAAATCCCATTAGCAGCCCCATCTGTGCAGAAGTTTTGGCTAAAGATAAAATCGAGCTATGTCACTATGGGAATAATAAATCCAACATGTTAATGACATAATGTTTGTGAGATTGTCTAATTATTCACAGTACCGTTTCTATCATAAGCATGAATCTAAGCACATTGTAAAACAAACAATACAAATTACGTATCAGCCATTTTAAATATTTACGCGATATATACGAATATCAAATATATACTCTTAAAAAATCGATTAACACTGTATATCACAATTGTAACCATGAGGGTTGAACAGGATATTGTTGAAAAATTACTACTACATGCTGAAATATAGTCTTTAGGGAGTTTCTATGGCAAGGGAATTAACTAGACATTTAATTATAGGGATAATTCTAGAACACTGATTTTTAATTTTTTTCTGGTGGTGCCTCCCTTGACTATATGGCAAGACCCTCCTGCTCCCCCCCCCCTCCACCGACCCAACCCTGCCTGGACTTCAGGTTCGTTTGTAGCTAACCGTCAAGGGCTCCAGTATAAGCTTACTTTGAACGGAGTTTCTTATCCGAGTAGTGACACTTTGAGTCACCAGAGTTAATCGCTCAGAGTGTGGTCCCAGCGAGTTTCAACTTTCTCACGCATTAATGAAAAAAAAAACATTCTTTTGTAAATAACTTTTTAAATTTCAAAATTGCTTGAAGCTCCATTGAAACATTCTTATACCCCCCCCCCCCCCCCCCCTCCCCCCTTTTTTTTCTCCCCTCCCAACCAATTGAAACAAATTGGACAAAGCAGGTAGTCACAACACCATTAACAAACAAATGCTGGTATGAGCTAGAAGTTGGCTGCAATAACAAATGTATGAACGTGTAATTGGGAGCGAATCTGACACGGAGGGACGAAATGATAGGAAGAGAACGACAAGTGTATAATCTGTATAATCGGTATGCTTATGGGAACAGTCAGAATCTACACATTATTAAGATAATTGCTGTGGTAGACAGAGCATCTATGTATGTGCTTGGTGTGTTATGTTGTTGTTCTTCTTTATGTTTCTTCTTCTTCTTCTTTTCTTTATCTTCTCCTTCTTAGCGTTCCCCTATGGAAAGTTTTGGTTGTTCATCCGCTTCTGGACTGTGGTCATTGTTCCAGAACTTGAGTTTTGTGTGCACATCCGTTTTACAAATCTGGCCAACTTATAGTCTGTCAATTCCAATGTTTGTTCAGACATTTGCCTTTTTTCTGCAACCCCCTTGAATTTATTACTTTTTATATAGCAGAAAAAGTTAGCATGTCCCAGTTTGTCAACATTTTAATTTTTTTTTTCTAGGTTGTTTTTGTTGTTGTTGACTAGTCCGCATGTGATTGGGTTTCTGTAGCGTCGCTTTTACTCCCTACACTCATCTCTTTCTTGGCGGTCTCTTGGCTAGTAGCCTGCTGTTCACAGGCGCGACGTTCTATTACAGGGGTGTCAGGTTGTCTTTACCGCTGCGGTCACGTGTGCTCTATGTTACAGGATGTCAATGACCTCAGAAAATCTAGAACTGGCCCAACCCCAACGACCTCAGAATATCTAGAACTGGCCCAACCCCAACGACCTCAGAATATCTAGAACTGGCCCAACCCCCATGACCTCAGAATATCTAGAACTGACCCAACGCCCATGACCTCAGAATATCTAGAACTGACCCAACGCCCATGACCTCAGAATATCTAGAACTGGCCCAACCCCAACGACCTCAGAATATCTAGAACTGGCCCAACCCCCATGACCTCAGAATATCTAGAACTGACCCAACGCCCATGACCTCAGAATATCTAGAACTGACCCAACCCCCATGACCTCAGAATATATAGAACTGACCCAACCCCAACGATCTCAGAATATCTAGAACTGACCCAACCCCCATGACCTCAGAATATATAGAACTGACCCCCTCCCCCTTCCCCAATAGGCTAAACCTAGGTCACACGAGAGACTGCACAGAAGACAATCTGTCACCTCTGCCACTTATCATCATCAGTTCTCGTTGTGCCTAGTGGCACATGAGGCTTCAGAGAGGACTTTCCATGCTTTCCTGTCCTGTGCAATCTTCAGTGCAGTTTTCCATGTCAAAGATGCCGCACTCAGGCCACTTTCCAACTCCATGTTGTTTTTGGGCGCCCCTGTTTTCTCTTTCCCTCTGGTGTCCATGTGAGAGCTGTTTTGGCAGGTATATCAGGATTCATTCTCATAATGTGGCCAAGCCATTTCCATCTTCTCTCGGTTATCATACTGTCTAAAGTTTCTTCGTTTGTGACTTGAAGTAGTTTAGTGTTTGAGATTGTATCTGGCCAGAAAATTTTGATAATTCTACGTAGACATGTGTAGTCGAAGGTGGACAGCTTGTGTGCATCCTTTTTTGTCATTCTCCAGCATTCCGCTCCATAAAGAAGAAATGGCAAAATGATGCTCTTGTAGAGTTGGAGTTTTGTTCCTCTGCAGTAAATGTTGGATTTCCAGATTTGCCTCATCCTTCCAAAAGCAGTTCTAGTTTTGTTCAAACGTGACTGTATGTCCTCTTCGGTCCCTCCTGGCAGGGACTCCCCACTGCCAAGATATGTGAAATGTTCTACATTTTCAAGAGTTTGGTTATTTATGGTCAGTGGTTGTTGGTTTGGACTGCTTGTCATGACCTTAGTTTTCTTTGTATTTATTCTCAGTCCCACCATTTCTGCTGTGCTGTGTAGTCTGTTACTTTTTTCTTGTATATGTTCATGTTTATGTGATAGGAGTGCTATATCATCTGCAAAATCAAGGTCCTCAAGCATGGTGAATGGAGTCCATCGTATGCCTCTCAATGTCCTGTCTACTGTGTTCTTAAGTATCCAATCAATCACAAGGTTGAAGAGGAGAGATGACATAACACATCCCTGTCTTACACCTGTCTTTACTGGGAAAGATGTATTGTAATTTTTTTATACTGCAGGAAAAGTTTTTATAGAAGAGAGCAATTATGTTGACTATTTGTTTCTGGAATTACATAATGTCGTAAAATTTTCCATAGACTGTCTCTATGGACGCTGTCAAAAGCTTTCTCTTATAAATAAACTAAAATGTTACGTATGGCGAAGATGTGCTCAGTTGTTCCTCTGCCCTTTCTGAATCCTGCTTGTTCTACTCGTAGGCATTTATCTACTCCTTTTTCAAGCCGCATTATGATGATTTTACAAAATATTTTGCTTGGTACTGAGAGTAGAGTAATTCCCCTCCAATTATTGCAGTCTGTTAAGACACCTTTTTTTTTGGGAATTTGTACTATTGTTCCTTCAGTCCAGTCATCAGGCAACACTTCTTTTTCCCAAATATCCTTGAACAATGGTTCTAGAATGCTAGCAATTGTGTTGGGATCTACTTTGAGAAGTTATGCTGGCAGTTCGTCTTTGCCTGGTGCTTTGTTCTTTAAAGTGTGGATAGCTTTAAGGATTTCTTGGTTGCTTGATGGTTCAGTAATAATGTCAATGTCCTAAGAGGCTGGTTGAATATCTGGGGGGATTTTCAGGATCAGGTCTGTTCAAGAGGTCGGAGAAGTGTTTAGTCCACTGCATGTCTTGTTTTTGTTCTGTTGTGAGCAGTCTGCCCTGGTTATCTCTGATGGGTATGCTGTGATAAGTTTCTGCTAGATTTTCTATAAATCTTTTGTCAGCTCTGGCACTTTTCTTTGTCATTTTATTTAGTTCGCTATATTCTAACATTAGTTTTTTCTTTCTGACGTTCTGATTTAGTGTGATTTATGAGGCTCTTTATTCTTTTTCGCTTGGCAATATACTCCATGGTTTGACTGCTTATCCATTCTTTGTGATGTTGTTTCCTGGTTCCTAATATGTTGTTGCCAGTTGATTTGTATGTTTCTTTGATCTGGTTCCATCTGTCTTATAATGCCACTTAAAGAAAGAAGAAGAATGGAGCACTTATGGGTTACTGCCCGTGTGCCATGACGTTGTTCAAACTTCAATCTTCCAAAAGGCATTGTTTGATAACATCTAGCTTGGCTTGGCATGCATCAGTTTACTTACCATCAAGTGATACAAAACCAGCTAATCAGTCTGTCCATTTCCCAGCACACCAGCATGACACAGAAAAAATACCCAAAGGATGCTAACTATCCTCTGAAACTATGCTTACCACTCTGCACAGAGCATGCCTTTCTCAGCATGCTTTTTGAGTCTGTTACATCTGTGCAGCTGGTTCTCAAACAAGCAGAAGGCCGCAGTGACAGTCTCCATCTCCATTCTCAAACTAGGGCGGATGGGGGAGTACGGACTGTGTAGCAAAGATGGATGTTTCCTTCAAATTTGGGACTGAATCTTTCTAAGAGGCAAGGAACCAACAGTCTGCACACAAATATGCCAAATCTGTACAATGGGCGTGCAAGCAAAGCTCAATCCTGGAACAAAGCTAAAGTCTGCAAGTGGACAAGCAACCAAGCCTTTCCACCAGAGTTTGCATTATATGAGCACAGAGAAAAAAACAGCATCCAAGTTTGGCTGGTACTAGTAGCATAGATGGTTTAAGCATGAAACATAGGATGTGTTGATTTTCCATGTTTCGAGACAGATGAAAACTGTAACCTTGCTTGCATCTTATGAAAAGGGAATCGACTCAGTAAGT